GTTTTACAGAATGAAATGTCTGAATGAGTGCTCATCCAAGACTGGTGATTCCATATGTTTTGTCAGAGGTTGTATCACTCTTCATCAATATATTCACACTGCAGGCAAATGCAACCAAATCCGTTTTCCTTGTTTTTTTTTTTTTTCTTCTGCCCCTTGTGACATATATCAGTTTTTTTTATTCAATTGTTTTCAAATCCAACCCACCTTTTCAGTATGTGGTACTGAATCAGATTCATATCTGAAGTTTTTCAAAGTGACTGCAGTCTGAACGCAGATGTCTCATTTCATCTGACTTCGACATCTGGGAGGTGGGGGTAAAGGATTGATACAGACACTAACCTCAAATGCTGTTTAAATTTTGTAGCTCCACRTGTCTTCAGAAMAGAATTATGGTTGCTTTGCCTTTGTTTTTTTCAATTCTCCATGTCCTGGATGAGTGAGAATCTGCTCATTGTCAGACCGTGTYGATACTGAAGTTACTTGTTCAGTACTTTACTTCTCTCACTTCGTTCCTAAAATAAAATGCTTCACCAGAGCCTCCTGTCAGAGGCTGGTTCAGATATAAAGTTTAAACACTTAACTGAACATGTCAGACAATTATTTAATCAGCTCTGATTAAACAACTACTTTAGAAATGACGTGCTGAAAGTAGTTTCCATGTTTAGATAACTTTGTAAACAGTGACCTGAATGTGACATCACTTCATCTTCTGCACATGCAGGTCTCATTAGGGCCGTTTAGAGTCCACACTAAAAAATCAGAATTGAGCATTGAGACCTGTAGTGTGAACTTAGCCTTAGATTTAAAACAGCTGACATCTCCAAAAGAAACTGCCAAATCTCTGGAAAAATCAAATATAAAGGGWAAAGAAAAAAACAATCAAAATGTTGTTGTTGTTATTGTTGTTGTTTTTATTACAGGCAGCTCCCCTCTACCTGGTGTCTGCTAATGAGCCTTTAAAGAAAATATTCAAACACTGACGATGAAATGCAGACTGTGTTCTGACTCATCTGATGTGTTTCTGTTTGATTCCAGGTCTGAAGAGAAGCTACACCTGTGAGGTCTGCAGCATCACACTCAACTCTGTGGCCCAGTACCATGCACATCTGCAGGGCTTCAAGCACCAAAACAAGTGAGTCCATCCTGCAGCAGCTAGCTGTAGCAGGTAGCTACAGGTAACTGAGACAAGCTAAAGGCTTCAGCTGTGTGCTGTCACCTGCCTACCAGTGTTCTGCACAGAAGTAATGAAGCTGTTGTAATGAGCTGCAGCTCAGACAGAACATTCAGATGGGCTCATTTAGCTCTAATTAAGTCTCTGTTTGTTGTTTTGCTGTAAMTAATGGGCGACTGTGAGACTCAGGAGACCATCTCAGGCTGCTTGTGGACCAATTGATACAATATTTAAGCCTAAAAATATACAGTTGTTAAATAGACAGAAACGTATGGAGCCCGCGAGGGGACATGGGAGATTTTTTTCTTTTGCATTACCACGCAATACCTTTTGCGTTCCCTCGCAAAAGTAGTTTGTCCCTGATGTGCCTGCCGGTTTATTAGCAAACTCACATGTTC